CCTCCGGCGAGTCGCGTCGATAATCGGTTGATCGCGACGAAAAAAAATGGGGAAGTAAAAAAAAAACACAATGGTAAAAGGGTAGCCTGTACGAGCGGTGGATAACGAGCGTATCGCAACGTGTCGGACAAATAATTATTATCGGGCTTCTGTCCGCGAGCGGTCTCACATCCGCTTTGATCCCGGTAGGAAATACGAGAGCGAAATACGAGAGCGGCAGAGTCTGGTTCGAGGTAGATACTCTCATAATCGTACGGCAAATAGAATTATCGCGTTGCGAGCGGCCGTTGCCGGTGAGCATAGCTTATACCGGGTTTCGCTCGTTTCCCCCATTATACGCGTCGTCTGCTAAATGACGCTGTACTCCGATCCTCGTACCTTCTCTCTCGCCCGTCCCTTCTGCCACTTCCAGCCCTCTGTGCCTCTCTCTCGTCTCTACTGTTATTCAGCTGACCGTCACCTGCTGCTTTCTGCTCTCTGTTCGTTTTCAACGCACCATCTCCCCACGGTCTCTCAAGGTGTTCTCTATGCCAATTTGCCTATCGGCTAAATCGCTCGAGATTGTGCACTTTGTGCGCTTTGAGAAATCTATACCTTGGGAGGTCGCTTCTTGGAAGGGGATCAACGACCTGCAGAAGTCGTGCAAATCGAGGGATGAGGAGCTACTTGCTAGCGGAAGACAGATATTGTACGTATTCTATTTTTGTACCGAACTTTGTCTATCACGAAATTTATCTTGTCGCAATAGGGAGATTTTACTCTCAATTCGTGTTTAATATGGGTGCCTAACCTATGGGCTCAAGTGTCCGCCAAGGACGTTACTCAGGGGCTGTGATGTACACGTCTTGGAGGTCCATAGATATTTGACATTTTCAAGTTTAAAAATGAAAAAATTCAGAAAATCAATTTGCTGGTGTAAGAGTTTTACAGTTTAGAGATTTATAGAAGTTTAATTTAAAAATTTACAAACTAAAAAATTGAAAATGTAAAGATATAGAAACTGACTCTTTTGCCGAGCTTACAAACGAAATAATTAGTTAATCCGTAAATTAAGGGATGAAAAATGCGAGAAAATGAAAGGTAAAAAATTCATAAAGGTACATATACCAAAAATTTGTAAATTTTCGCGCGTGTTTAAACGCGAAGTGAAAATATTAAATTCTTTTCGTTGTTTGTCCAACAATGGAGTGGAAAGCTAATAGAGAGGATTCGATTGTACCCTGGAGCGTACAGCTCGAAAACGCTAGATAAAAGTGGAAAATCTGCGTGTATCGCGAGCTGGTATCGTGTCGGGACAGACAGCTGCACCGGTCGCGAGAATTAGAGGACCGGGATCAACTCGGCATTATTCGCGTGATCATAATAGAGAGTTCCTGGAACGAGTGCACTCGTGCAACATGATAATTCTGTTGGATCGCTGTCACGCGAGTATCTGCTTCGGTTCAGACTATCCGAGAAACGAATGCGTTGTGAAATTGTACGCTTGTTGATGCACTTTGCGGCTGAATATACCTGTTATTGTATCGAAATAAATTCTCGTATCGTCTGTTACATGCGCCATTACGATGTAATTCTCGAGGCAATTCAAACAGAAAACATTGAGTTACATTTGCAAGCTTTCTCCAGTACATAAACTTGAGGGTGCGATTACGAATGAAAATTCATAAATAAGATGTGGGATATCTATTTCTTTTGTAATTTAAAAAGAACAGGTAGCATGAAACTGATAGTGGGGATGATGGTAGGGTGATTATAAATGAAAATTCATAAATAACATGTAGGATATCTATTTTATTTGTAATTTAAAAAGGACAGATAGCATGAAACTGATGGTGGGGATGATGGTAGGGTGATTACGAATGAAAATTCATAAATAAGATATAGGATATCTACTTTATTTGTAATTTAAAAAGAACAGGTAGCATGAAACTGATGGCAGGGATGATGGTAGGATGATTATAAATGAAAATTCATAAATAAGATGTAGAATATCTATTTCATTTGTAATTTAAAAAGAACAGGTAGCATGAAACTGATGGTAGGAATGATGGTAGGGTGATTATAAAAGAAAATTTATAAATAACATGTAGGATATCTATTCCTTTTGTAATTTAAAAAGAGCAGATAACATGAAACTGATGGCAAGGATGCAACCCTAACTGCAACCTTTCGATGCGCAGCCATCGCGGTGGGCCGCATCGGCTGAAATATTAACTGACCGCGACCGCAGTACACGGAGTAACAGAAAAAAAATCACCGAGAGAGATGGAGTGCGCATAGAAAATTTCAATCTAGCGAGAAGAGAGGTCCTCTCAGATAACTCGGTTGAATGTTTAACGAGGGTCACCCGGCTTTGCGAAACCCAGAAGGACCGAGACGTCCGAGGATTGGAGAAAAATCGGATAGCAGGTCCCGTTGGAAACGTACGGAAGAGACGGAGAGAACGGACAGGAAGCGAGGTCAACTACGAATAAATAAATAAAATAACCGGTGCCAATGCGTGACCCCGTTAAGAGTCACTTTACGGGACGTGTTCGAGGCTGGTGCAGTTGTAACGTTCTTTCAGAGCCGGCCGGCTCCTGCGAAATAAAACATTCACCGACGCTCGCCTCTGTGAATCCTTTCTTTGAAGGGACACAGGTTTCTTGAATAAAATTTGCATCCGCTGCGCTCTCGCGATCGCGTACGGAGGTGGAGGGTGACCCCGAGCATCGTTACCGGTTTAATTTGTTTTGCGAGTATGATGAGACGCGTTTCCTCGATGACTACGAATCAGGGAATCGGGCAAATTGCGCTGGATAAATAACGAGTACTTCTTATTTCAGGATCCTTACAACTCTTTCATCTTTAAATCTCTACATCTTCATTCTGAATTCGTAGATTTTTAGATCAACGAATATCTGGGCAACAGATACATCTGCAGTCATCATGATGCTCTAGACTTCATGTATATGGAGATATTATGTAGATCTTCAAATTCCTACTACCAAATATTAGTACCTGGATATGTAAGTCTGAGCAGATCTATTTCAAAAGACCAAAGGTCTGAATGAACAATGAACAGTTACTTAATTTTTAAATAGAAGTAAGTTATTTTTGGTCAACTGTAAGTAAATGTAACTATAAGAGTAAACGATAAGTGAACAGAGAGTAGAATCCCTGAAAAAGAAGTTTCAATTTGATGAGAATAATTGGTCACGTTTTAGCCGATACGGTCCGATATGCGCGAGTATGAAGAATTAGGGGAACATCGAATTAGCGACGGCACGGCGGCAAACTGTAATTTGTAGTCGGTGAGGGTATTAAGTGGGCGGTCGTTAAATTTGACCGGACGTCTTCTGGAGAGGATCGAAGAAGCGTTGAGGGGACGCGTATTCCGGTGGCGAGTATGGGTGCTCAAGGGAAAGAGAGAACACGAGAGAGAGAGAGCGTGAGAGAGAGATATCTAATTGGATCGGTAAATCATCCTCTAACCAGGAGGGTGGTAGGCTAGGCAACCCTTTATTCTGTGTTATTACAGTCTAAAGTTACCCCGTGTAATTGTTGCTGTTTAATTGCAAACTCTAAGTCGTCGCGTTACACGTCGCGGCGCCCCGCGTATAATTGCCCCCCTCGAGTTCAGCCGCTCGTTTTTTACCGGCGAAATAATTGGAAACGATCCCTCGACCGAGGGTAATATCTAAATCCGCCAAATCGACGGGCAAGTTGAATCAGTTCGTTTGTTGGGAAACTTTCGATCGGACTTTTACAACAATGGGAAGAACAATTGTCTTTTATGTAATAATAAAAAACTATATAATTTTTCAGTCCTTGAGTTTGAGGTGCATTGTCAATAAAAATGTTACATAACCTTGAGAGTTAACATACGGAGTTTCTTTAACTAATATATTATTTTTATGATCATTTTTGTCAGCCAGTTATTCAAGAGGGAGAAAGATTTGGCAGTCGATTTCTTTTTACGCGGTTCCAAAGAATAACTCTTTCTAGATATACTTGTTGAGCAGCGGTTCTCAGTACGCGGGAAACAGTACTCGGTATGCAGGAGCATAAATTTATGCAATGTACATATTTATATTATGTATAAATTCACGAATTAAATTTAATTATTTCATTCATTAATAATCATACTAATCAGGTTGTACTTCATTTTCATTTACATGACTGTTTCATTCCAAAATAATATATGACTGTATTATAATCTTATAAATTTTTGTACACTTGATGTACTTTATATCCTACAGAAATTTGTAAATCTTACGAATAAATTTAAAGGACACCAAGAATACCAGACCAAAATTCGTGTAAATAATAAAAGATCTTTGTGCAAATGTTCAAATATCATAAGAAGCTATGAAAACGTATGATCGAAGTATAATAAAAATGAGGTCTCGACCTAGGGCAGTACGAAAGCCGAGTTAAATACCCGGGTCGACGAAAAACGGGCAATCGTGGAGGCTATCGTGCCAGCTCTCGTCGCAAAAGCTTTCATCGGACCGCAAGAATGTCGCACGCGTGTACAGAGAGGGGCAGGGGGACGGGGTGGAGGCGGTGAATTACGAGACAAAAGCAGGTTTTCGTTGATTCCGTTGAAGTCGGTTGTGCCAGGCTGAACGCGACGATGCCTTGGGCATACCGGCGTGGCTCCGCCGCTGCCCGTTCGCCGACCCATTGTCGAAGATAGACAATGCCACGCGATAAAAACGTAAAATTGATGCTCTTTTGTTCGCATTGTTTGAGAAGCTGTACAACGTTTGTCGCACGCCTGGACGAGCCACTGTTATTGGCTCCAAACTACATTCTACCGTTCCGTTTCGCTCCCCTCCGCGTTGGCCGACCTCGTCCGCCACTTTGCTTTATCTCTTTCGCACCCCTTATACCCTAGACTCGTTGCCAACTCGCTTCTGCCCGCCGACTACCCGAAAACCTTTCTCGTTTCGTCAATAAGCCGGCATTGTGCTTCGCCACAGTTCCATAGTTTCGCCGTTTTACATTGACCGCTTTCAAACGCGGCTCGTTCTTCTCGATTTTCAACCCCCGAAGCTACGCTCCACCCACCGACCTTTCGTATCCTTCTTTCTCGATTTCTTGCCGGCTCTTCCGGGCGACTTCGCATTGTCTCGCCGGCCGGTGATCCCAACACGCGAGACGATATCGCGAGGCAATAAAATTCCGCGTCCCTGCAATTACTCGATGTCCGTAATTTACGCGTCAGGTGGTGAATCTTCAGCAAATTACGGGACTTTAATAAAACATGAACGGAGGGTTGCTATTTCAGAGATTGTTGAAAGGGTGGAATCGCGAGAAAACGAAAAGTCGCGAGCTATTTGGCATTTAGGGACCGTCTCGGCCGCCTGCGAGGAGCAATATGATACAAAAATGTCAGCAGTATCCAGATAATTACATAACTGGTCTCAGGGGTCGGGGTCACGGGGCGAGCGGAGGGGTGGGACACGGTAACGGGAATAACGGAACGAGAAGTTAGCCTCCTCCTGCGTAGAATGCTGGCGCAAGCGGAGGAAGAGAGGTCGCGACGGATAGAGTAGAGGGTGATTTCCCAGCTGACCTGTAAAGCAACTCCCGAGTGGACTGTGTCTCGCAAACCAGTACTCGCTTCTTTCCTTTCGTCCCCTGTATTTCTCTGCATCCTACCTTCGCCCGCCCCCCTCGTTGTTACTTTTGCATGCGCGATCGCCTTTCTCTCTTCCCATTGCTTTTCACCGCGGAACGAGGAAAATCGCGGAATTCCGTACTGACATTTAGTCAAATTACTAGCAAGATTTTTAAGTATTTTTCAAACATGTCTCCCAATTGCCATATAATTTATCTTCATACACCCTGTATATAGCAACTGCCTGTTGTACATGAAGTTAGTCAAACAACCTCCCAATAATCTTCATACGTTCTGTATATAGCAACTGTCTCTTGTACATGAAGTTAGTCAAACAACCTCCCAATAATCTTCATACATTCTGTATATAGCAACTGCCTGTTATATATGAAGTTAGTTAAACAACCTCCCAATAATCTTCATACGTTCTGTATATAGCAACTGATTGTTGTACATGAAGTTAGTCAAACAACCTCCCAATAATTTTCACTCTGCAGAACTTGAAGTATATATTTTATAAAGAAGTATGTTATACATATCTTAGATGTGTCATAGGGGAACGGTCCTTTAAAATAACCTATCTGTTGCATTCTAGTATAAGATAAAATAATTGAAAGTCGTGAAATGCCTGTTGTACATGAAGTTAGTCAAACAACCTCCCAATAATCTTCATACATATAGCAATTAATGCCTGTTGTACATGAAGTTAGTCAAACAACCCCCCAATAATTTTCACTCTAGAGAACTTGAAGTATTTTATAAAGAAGTATCATATCTTAGAGTATCTTAGGGGTACGGTCCTTTAAAATAAGCTATCTGTTGCATTTCAGTATAAGATAAAATAATTGAAAGTAAAATTGGTATGCAAAGGAGAATTTGAATAATGGTGTTGTGAAAGGGTGGACAAAGGATAGAGTATTTTCAATAAATTAACGTAGAGCATTAAATAGTTAAACTTACCGATGAGTGCACTGCTGACATGCAAAACAGTCGAGATGATAAACATTCGTCCTGGCTTTCATGACCATCTCGAACGCGGGTATGTGTTTGTTGCAAGCCGCGCAGTTTCCCGTGTTACCGAACAGCCTGAGGTAGTCCCTCTTGCAGAGGATAAGGTTGGCCTTGGTATACAGAGTAGAACCGACCTCTCCTAACCTACACTCGCAACACCCGCACTTCAGACAATCCTCGTGCCAGTACAGGTCCAAGGCCTTGAGGAGATACCTGAAGAACCGACCACAGTTTTCGTTCTTACCGACCAGCGTGATTATCATCCTCCAACTTGTTGTGTCGCGATTTTTGCTCTTTGCTCTTTTCGTTAGCCGTTCGTTGCATCGCTGCGTGCACGTATACGGCAACGGAAGTGGCAAATGCAAAAGCGATTGGACACGGTTCGCGGCTCACCTTTCAGTGATCGTTTTTCCACAGCCAGCGCATTCCTGTTGTGTGGTGCCATTTTTACTCGGCTCCGACTTGCTCACGTCCATCGTCATCGTGATTTCGGCTGGTACGCCGTCTGCAACACGCAAAAGAAACGGGGACTCGTTAAATTCGCCGCGCTATAAATCGTGTCTACCGCCGCTGCGCGGACAACGCGCAATAATGATCCGCGTTAATTGGACCGGTTGTCCGTCGACGCTTGCCAAATCCTCTCAAGCTCGTCTTCTGCGACGAATCGACATTAAACACGCTTCGTGCTAAATACTAGTTGACTGTTCAGGATCGAATGGACACTTTCAGAGCCCCGGACACTTGGAACCTTCGTAATCTTGGTCTTTAAAATTTCTTTGGAAATTTTGGGAATTCGGATCGTTCCATAACGGAGACTCTGACGTGAAAAAATTATCATACATTTACATGTTAACCCTTTGCACTGTTTTGACGAGTCTGACTCTTGACGCACTCGTATTTCGGACGTAATCTATTTTACTCGAATTTTTAATACGCTTCAATTTGAAGTTTAAGTCCAATTATAATTTACATAGTCAATGATTGCATAATAACATATTGACATAACATTTCAAATTTGTTTGACTGTTCTAATATTGTAGCTGTAATTAGTCAGTTCTGACTGACGCACCTGACAAGTAAGTCATGGTGCAAAGGGTTAATATCATAGATAGTGAAAATTCTTGGAATAAAGCAAAGGTTCGAAATAGTTTAGTCAGCGGGTCTTAATTATGCGAGTCGAAAATTCGAACAGGTTCGAAAGATCGACGGGAAGCAAGGGGATCGATCGCGGGAACCGTTCGAACGTAGGACGCGGGTCCGCGCGCGGTGAAAAGCGGCAAAGTACGGAGAGAGGAACACAGGGAGGAGCGTATTCGCAGGAACGAGCGCGTTCTAAAGGCGATTCGAGGAAAGGAGGAGGAGAGGGAGGAGGGTGGCCGGCTAAAATGGTGAGTGGGTGCTCGGCGAGGCGCGGAGGCTTAATTAATTAGCCGGATACTTTGAGTAACAATCCATTATTACATACAAACATCCTCCGCCCCGGGGCCGAGCTGTAGCTTTATGCTGCTAATTGGCCTTCTCAAAGCTCGGAGACCCGGGCACGAGTTATAAACGCCACTCCTCTAACTCGCCACCACCCCCGTCACTCCATCCCTCTTGTCTTCTCTGCCTCTTTCTCTGTTTCCTCCCTCTTCCGACCGTTTGTATCTCCTCTCTCACCCTCTCGCTGCCGTGCAGGCCCGTCGTGTGTCCTCCTCCCGGGTTCACCGGCACACTCGCGCGCTTTGCGATGCACGTAGAACCCGTACAACCCCGAGAACGGATACGCGAACGCGGCCACACGCGCGCGAAGAACGGGGGTGACAGAGTGAGGCCGGGGGTAGTTGGACAGGGACGGATGGTGGGAACGAAGAGGAACACGGCTCGACGTGAAAAAAAAGGGGGAGAGGAAGGTGTGGGTAGGCGGTGGATGGGAGCGAAAGGAGGGTAGGAACACAGGGGTCGAGGAGGAGCAAGAGGAACGACGGATAGCGCTAATAACGCGCTCGTGGCGCAAAAAAAAGAGGAAGGAGTATAATTGCCAGCCCTCGTGGCAGGTATTTTTCAAATAGGACCCCGTCCGTTAATTGGAGGGCAAATTAAAGAGGCGCCGCGGAGGAAAAAAACATCATCCCTCTGCCTCGTAACCCCTTGGCCCCCCTCTTAGCGTGCCCCACCTACGTCACTATCCAAGAGGCGCCTCGTGATTCGTCAAACGATCTGTGCGCTCCATTTTTTCTCTGGATTTATTTTCCTTTTTTTTGTTCCTACTTTACCTGTCTTCCTCTAACGACTTTAACTACTTTCGTTTGTGGTGGGTGGTCCCTTCTCCTTTCATTGATACTCTTCTCCACAGATTTAGGCTTCTCGACATTCAATTATTTTAGAAATTTTGGGCAATTTCAGATAATTGAAAAGTCTGATATTTAGAGATTTGGGAACTGGGTTCTATAACTTGGGATTCAGAGAAATCTGTCGGTATAAGAATTTTACAGTTAAACTTAGAATAATAAAATTGTAGAAACTTTCTTTTGGAAAATGAAAAAATTGTAAGTAAAGATAAATTGAACGTTTTAACGTCCGAAAATCGGAAGTAAATGGTGTAAGAACCCCTTCGGCAGTTCTTATCTAAAGGAAGCCAGCATTGCACTGGGTTGTACACGTATTCGATTCGCGAACAGCTACGAAATATTGAGTTTCAACGGATAAGGGATACGTGTGAAATTACTTGCTTAATTGCTTCGACGCTGGACGCAATTAAACGGGCTCCCTCAGCGCGCGGGAATCCGGACAAGTACCGGCCGATTCTTAATTGCATGTCCATGTTTCAACGCGTGGAAATATATAGAAGTTGGAACAAGGGAAACGCGGTGTAGGTGAGAATATCTGAAGTTTATTTTCGCCATGACGGTTAACAAGGATGAAAATTACAGTGTCGAGATAAACGAACTTCAACGCGTAAACTCGAACCCTTCTTTGAACGCGAAAATAGAGGGTGTCGTGTAACTAGCGGTACAAGTAAAAACCCGGTGATTCTACATGGGTAAGTAATTTAAAACCTGAAAGACAACTTTTTTCCCTATCAGATTTTGTTTCCGAGGAAATTGATACCGAAGAATCATTTAATACGTGCACGTTTAATTGCATACATAAAAGTGCTACGCGCCATGAAAATATCAATAAGAATAAATTTTAACGCGAAAATAATGAAAAATTTAATTACGTTGAAAACCTGATCGCTTTTTAAAAACGGAGAAATTCTAATTTTAATTTTTGGCAGAAAATGATCGCGTTTCGTGCAGACTGTAACGCGATACGTTATGTAAATCAATTTAACATTTCTGCGCGAGTCCAGCAGCGTAAAAACGGTTCCATAAAAAGTTAAAGTGCGGACCAGGATTGTATACAGTCAGAATCGGTGGATAGAATCTCGTCGTCGTTTCCAAGCCCCGTAATATTATGCAGAGGCCATTCTCTTACGTACGGACAAATTCGTCTCGGTCTTTCGAATAATACTTCCACCTCCACACACGGCCGCCCTCCAACGACCCTCCACCCTTCTCCTCTTTCCTTCTCTCTCGGTTCTTTTACATTTATTTATTTCCTAAACGTCCGTCCCCGCCGGCTACTTTATATTTGACATTTTTATTAAACCAGCCGGCAGCCAGCCCTGTCCTAAGCGACAGCGTATCCCAGGACGAGGCGGACCGGCGATCCGGGACACGAGACTGCCCAGGTTATCCCATATTGCTGTTAGGGCAGTTTCGTAATCTCGCAAGGGTGCCTCTTATATTGACCGAATAAAAAGTCGTGTCCGTCGCCGATTCGTCGATACCCACGCGTTTCAGCCGTGCAACCGATTCGCTACGGGTTACTTCAACCGAAAGACAGTCTGCGCCGGAAACGACGAAATACCCTCTCCGTATCGTGTTCGAAACCACCGTAACACGGTCCCGCCATAAATCAACTTTTCAATTTACGATTGCGTTACGTTCGAGACACGGTCCACCCCCTCGGCTAAGTCGTTTCTTGCGCGAGAACGATTTTACGCGACCACCCTTGGAATTTTTGTTCGAGGGGCTCCGACAAATCGACCACCGATACGCAACGCCGTATAATGCCGCGGTAAATCGACGGAATTAATTTCATTTTATCTAACGTTCATCGGCCGCGTCTTACGATAACGCCGGATCATATTGGATATCGCGGACGACAAATAACTGGACGCTAAAACTTCGATCGGTCGTAAACGGCGAGACATGGGCAAGTATACTGTATGTGGTAAGATTTTGTGGTTCAATGCCTTAGATAATTTTGTAATTTGAACAATCTTAATTTTTAACTTCCTAAGTTCTGAATTTTTGAACCTACACAAACATCCACATCTGTGTTCCTAAATTCTGAGGTCCCTAAACAAGTTTCTGAAGCCTCAAGTCCTTGAACGCCTAATTTTTGACTGCACAAATTTCCAAATTTTCTCTTTCAACCCCAAAACCCCTAAAATTCGTAAATCCTGTTCTCCGCGATTCCCAAACTTCTCAAACATCCAAATAAATCCAAGTCTCTAATCCCCAGATCCCAAGATCAAAATTTCTCCATTTCCCGGGAGCAATCCTCAGCAGCGAACAAAAGGTTAGTGAAGAAGGAAAAGAGCGAGTAGAATAAAAAACCGAGGGAAGTTGCGTGGCGAATGTAGTTAAAAAAGAGGGACTCGAACAGGAAGATGGAAACGCACCCTCGTCCTCGTCGAGTCACGTTCCGCATCTTGCTGCGTGTCCTTCGAGCCGGTGGTGGATCGAGCTTCGTAGCGAAACGAAGAGGCAAGGGTGATACGCGACGAGTTAAGGGGGATCGGGGGAATATAGCGCAGGATAGAGCAAAGTATAGGACAGGGTGCGGTGCGGCGCGTAACACGGGGCGGCAGGCACGACTGCAATTTCGGGGCTTAATAATGATCCCAGCCGACGGCTCAAGGCTGTATCCCGTGTCATTATACTGTGAAGTGGAGAGGCTGCTAATTAGTCATTAGCGTAGGAAAAAGACACCTTCAACGGGCTCGGTAGCTGGCAGGACGGGCGGCAACCCCATCCGACGTCGGACGGTGGTGCACAGGTACGGCGAACTTGAGCAAACAGGGTGTAGTTTCTAGCCTACGTCTAATTGGACCCTAGCGACGTAAGTTCTACTAATTGAGACCAGGCCTGTAACTATCAGCCGCGCGACAAGGGCCTTCGTAAATTCGCCGAGATCGACGTCGTTCGTGTACGCCGACACTACGCTATCGAGACACGCGCGCACAAACACGCGCGCACCATTTTGCGTCTCCTTTCGCCTCGCGGAACGTTGAACTTTGGCGCGGGAAAAAATCGGTATCTTGCCCACGCGCTTCCTACCGCCTCCTCCGAAAAACATCGGTGACATACTGCTCTCTTAATGCAAGAGGGTCTAAAGAGTTCCTCGACCTTTTTCGACTCCTAGACATTCTATGCCACATTTACCCGATTCCTCGGAAATGGAGCACTCTTA